CTTTCTTTTTCTGTCTGCAAATGCGTCTCGCTTCCCTCTTCAACTCTCGGTATCTATCCCATCCCGCACGTGTTGTGGTCGATCGTAACGTTGCGCGGTAGGCAGCCTGTTTTCTCTCCGCTGCGACACGGCACTCCTCGTCGTACCAGCTGTTCTTTTGCACTTTCCGAAAAAAAATGATTTCGGTTGCAGCTGTACGTAAGGAGTTTAAAATGCCGTCCCACAGTTCCCTTATACCGAGTTGTTGACGAGTGCTCTCAAAGAGCAGGAGTGCAAGCCGAGTAGAAAATCGTTCGGCTGTCTGTTGTGATTGCAGCTTCTCGACGTCGAACCTTCCTTGTGTTTGATGGCCTGCGTTTTTTGCTACACAGTGGCGGGTGCGAATCTTGGCTGCAACAAGGTAGTGGTCCGAGTCGATGTTAGGACCTCGGAATGCACGCACATCTAAAACACTGGAGACGTGTCTTCCGTCTATCATAACATGATCGATCTGGTTGGTGGTTTTTCGATCCGAAGACAGCCAGATAGCGTGATGTATCTTCTTATGCTGGAATCTAGTACTACAGATAATCATATTTCGGGCCCCGGCAAAGTCGATCAGCCTCAAACCATTTGGGGCTCGTAGAGGCTGAATTTACCGACCGTAGTACCAAAGATACCTTCTTTGCTCATCCTGGCGTTAAAGTCGCCAAGCACGATTTTGACATCGTGGCGGGGGCAGCTCTCATAAGTGCGTTCTAAGCACTCATAAAAAGCATCTTTGATCACATCGTTCTTCTCTTCCGTCGGGGCGTGCGCGCTGATCAGCGATATGTTGAAGAACCTCGCTTTGATGCGGATTGTGGCTAGATGTTCATTCACCGGAGTGAATGATAGTTCTCGGCAACGGAGTCTCTCTCCCATCACGAACCCCACACTAAACTTGCGCTCCTTTATATGGCCAGTCAGTACTCGTCTCAGTTCTTGTCCAGTCCATCCATTTCTTGGACGGCGATGACATCAACCAGCTGGGCAGCGGCACCTTCCCAATTAAGGGGCAGGACATTCCAGATGCATGCCCTCAAATCATAGTCCTGAATTCGTTTGCCATGGTCGGCATCAAAAGGGGGGTCACTCATCCGAGGCTTGTTGTTTCCTTTCATTGGGGGTGGTTTTTTTACGTGGCGGGTCCCAAACCCAGCACACAACCCTATGTAGAGCATATTTCGCCTTCTCACTTTAGCTCGCCTTCAAACGGATGTTCTTAGGCTACCCAGAGGATACTTGGTCAAAGACCGGAAGTCGTGAGTTGCTTGAGTCATATGTAAAAGAATCATTTCTGGCCACTCCCAAGTGAATGGCGATCAGAGAGCTTTTCTTACTTGCGTGAACTTCTACACATGACTCCATCCATCCACGCATTTGCAAAAATTTATTTCCAATTGTTGTTTTACTATATAACACATAAAGAATTAGTACCTCATTTAAAAATAATGAAATTACTCATGCATTAGCAAAAACCTTAGTACATATGTCTCTTAGCAATTGAATAAATTTAGACTAAAATTCTGTAACTTACTGTGGAGTTAAAACCTGTTTTCATTTTTTACGCTAAATGATTGCAAACAGATAATTTTTAATAAAAAAAAAATTTTATTTCATCAAACAAAAAGTAAGTTTCCAGATCTTTTCAATTAATTATTCAATGCAAAAAGCAAAAAAAAATATGACTGCACCTTTTTTTTGCCGCGGGAAGCACTGCAGTGACGAAAAACGAGAATGTATTCAATCTGTCATGAACAACGATAAATCCTACAAGGTAGTGGAAATAATTGTAGGGTGTTAAGCCACAACGACTCACAATGCAATTATTTATAAAAAAAAAGACGAAAAAAGGGGCGCAATATGRATTCTTTCCGAGAATTTTACACCAATAGTTGTAAGATGTGCCAAGACTCGACCTAGAATGTCAGCTATGGAGATTCGGAATGAACTGAACCTGGCCTACGGTGTTCATACAGTGAGAAGACTTATACATGAACATAATTTATATGTCCGCAGTCCTCGATAAGTACCGTTATTAAAAAAAATCATATAGCAAGTTGTCTTAAATTTGCCAAAGGACCGATTGAGAAATGGCGCAACATCTTGTGGACAGACGTGTCGAAAGTTATTCTATACGGCGGTAAAGGGTCCCTTCAGTATCTAAGACGCTCCCCTAATAGAGAGTACGACCCCAGATTCAGCACAAAAACTATGAAGCTTGGCGGTTTGAATTTCATGGTTTGGTGTGTTTTTATTACACTCCCAATTTTTTTGTGTAGTCCCAATTCACAAGATTACTGGCATAACGGACCGACACAAATTCGTGGATATAATGCAGTATATTATGATACCATTTGCTGAAGAGGACATCCCGCTGAAAAGGATATTTCAGCAGAATAATGACCCGAAGCATACCAGTAGTGGGGCAAAGGATTGGTTTCGTGTCAATGGAATTGAGGTCATGGATTGGCCAGCTCAATAGCATGACCTCAATCCCATAGAAAACCTTTGAGCAGACGTTAAAAAAACCGTATGGAATGGCAAACGCAAAAACAACAATGAGTTGTGGACCGTAGTGCAGCAAGCATGGCAGAGCATACCACTAAAAAGATACCAGAGTCTCGTAGATTCTATGAAGAGCCGTTGTATTGCTGTTATTAAAAATCATGGCCATGGTACCAAGTACTAATATATAGACGGAACTTCCAAAAATCCTTCAGTTAAAAAAAAAAAATTTATTACTTTACTACTATATTGCTCCCATCAAATTTCATATATTAGGTTGTCAAAAAAGTCTTGCGGTATTTTCGCTAGTTGGCGCTGAGAGCGCGTTAAATGAGCTGGCTGGAAAGCTTATTTAACGCGCGAACACGTGTTTGATTGATTGTCGTTTCTTTTAAGTCGTTCGTGAGTTATAGCGTCGCAAACATGGAGCAAAATAAAGAGAAATACGGCATATTTTACAGTATTACTACGATAAAGGCAAAAATGCATCTCAAGCCGCCAATAAAATTTGTGCAGTTTATGGACCCGATACAGTTTCCATTTCCACCGCACAACGATGGTTTCGACGTTTTTGTTCTGGTGTAGAGGTGGTCCAAGAAGCGCCACGCTCCGGAAGGCCTGTCGTCGAAAATAGCGATATAATCGCTGAATTGGTCGAAACAGACCGGCATAGTAGCAGTCGTAGCCGTAGCGTATGAGTCTTCAAAAAATATTTTATGAACAATTGAAAATTCAATAAAAATAC